AGGGCCAGTGCTATAGCACTACAGGTTAAACAATCATTTGTAATGCCCACATCCCAAATGGGTCCTGGTTTGCTTCCCAGGTGCTGCACGTTTGATCCAGCTCCCTGCTAATGTACCTAGGAAAGCAGCAGAAGACGGCCCAAGTGCTTGGGCCCCTGCATCCATGTGGGAGACCTGAATGAAGCTCCAGGCTCCGGCCTGGCCTAGCCCTGGCCACTGAGAACATGTGAGGAGGGAACCACCAAATGGAAGGTCTATCTGCCTCTGTCTCTATAACTCTGCCTTGCAAATAATAAATCTTTTTAAAAAATCTGTCAAGGCCTTAGAACAAGACTTTCTACACTGTAAAAACTAAAATATTTCCTGTTAAGTCATACCACTAATTAAATTAAAGTGTCTTCATAATCGATAGTTTTAAACAACATACCAAATGTTGTGTCATTTCTACTGCAATAGGAGTAACTTCTTCGCTATATTCACAAATCATTTTCTGAATTACATTGGTAAGGTCATCATTTTCTGTTTCTCTTATAATATGAAGAAGAGCCTGCATTACAGGTCTGATGAATGGTGTGATGTATTCTTTAGCTGTGGAAGGAAAAAGATTTTAAAAATCTGATGATATACATCAAAGAGTGAAAAAGAAATACTTTCACATATAAAGTAAGTTTCTTGATTATGCTTTGTATAATTAATTACATGTAAAAGCTTACACTATTTATGACATAAAAATCTTGTACCTTTTTCTTGATTGCTTATCAACACTTGAAGAGCTATTGCAGCTTCCACTTTCACAGGCATTTCTCTATCATCAATCAGACATCTCCTTGTTAGTTCTAAAGCCGTTTGAAGGTTCTGGTCACTTTTGAACTTCACTTCACAAAAATAATGAAGTACCCAGCAAGCCTTTTTTAAAAAACACAGTAAGTTAATACAATCACATTGAATTACTCCAAGCCATTTCTATCCCCAGCATTTTGTGTATGGGAGTTTGGAGGCTGGCCAGTGGTGGTTATGTCCAAAGAGACAACACTAGACCAGTACTATGATCCCATGTTATTCTTTGGCTGCATGACATTATGTGTGAGTAACAACATCTGAATGCAAAACACAGACAGACACTGCTACCAGACACAGATTAAAGCTATGCACACATTATAGCAGCCATTTTAAAGTTCACCTAAGATGAATTATGGCTGTTAAAGTGAACATAAGAATATTCCAATAAAAAAATGAAGTTATCCATTAAAAGATAGAGAAATCAATATAGCTTTAAAACATACCCGTGCTCTCATGTAGCCTAGATCACTGCTGAAGAGAGGAAATACATGATTCTGCAACATGTATTCCATCTGATCTTTATAGATCTTTTTCTGTAAATATAAATAACAATTATTTAAATACAGTTCCAAATACAAGCACCTAAATTCCCAGAGACATATAATCTGATTAAAAATAACTAAACATTAAACATATCCAATAGAACAAAACTAGTCTTAAAATGTAATATATAAACAATCATTAGATAAATACAAATATTTAATTTGTGTTCCACTTTCCACTATGTACTAGCCTTGAGACATGAGTGCAGTGAATAAGGACAAAAATTTTTATAAATTACTAAACATGTCACATCATTTGTTCTGAATCTTTGAACTTCAGGACCTGCAACCAATATTCTTATTCTAGTACTCTACCCCCAAAAATACTTTAATATATTGTAAAATGTTAAAACTGAAAAATAAGTTACAACAAATATTTTATTTATTTTTTTTTAAAGATTTATTTATTTGAAAGGCAGAGTTACAAAGAGGCAAAGGCAGGAGCGTGGGGGTCTTCCATCCATTGGTTCATTCCCCAAATGGCTGCAAGCCAGGAACCAGGAGCTTCTTCCAGGTCTCCCACACAGAAGCAAAGGCCCAAGGATTTGGGCCATTTTCTACTGTTTTTCCAGGCCATAGCAGAGAGTTGGATACGAAGCAGAGCAGCCAGAAAATGAACCACTGCTCATATAGGATGCCTGCTACACCACAGCGCTGGCACCACAACTAATCTTAATAGCAACAGTGTCTTATTTATGGTACTATGGTTAATTTTACCCCTTACCTTATAAAATTTCTTTGATGGAACTTTTATGATAGAATAACCTAGTTTGTTCAATTATAAAATAATATTTTTTTTTTAACAGGCAGAAATGGCCGCCGCGGCCGGTGTGCTGCGGCCAGTGCACCGCGCTGATCCGATGGCAGGAGCCAGGTACTTATCCTGGTCTCCTATGGGGTGCAGGGCCCAAGCACTTGGGCCATCCTCCACTGCACTCCCTGGCCACAGCAGAGAGCTGGCCTGGAAGAGGGGCAACCGGGACAGAATCCGGTGCCCAGACGGGGACTAGAACCCGGTGTGCCGGCGCCGCAAGGCAGAGGATTAGCCTAGTGAGCCGTGGCGCCGGCCCATAAAATAATATTAAATTATCAAAATAACAGCTTGAGAAAAATTCAATTACAAACTAATAAATTTGATACGCAAAAAGCTACTCTCATGAGTATGTCCTGTTAACCAGTTTTTTACAAGAGTTCCTTGAACTAGACATTAAAAACTGATAAAGGTACCAGTATTTTGGGCCCCTGGCACACACAAGGGAGACCTGGATGGAGTTCTGGTCATTTGTAGAGTAAACCAGCAGATGGAAAATTTCTCTCTCCCTATCTCCCTGTAACTATGCCTTTCAAATAAATAAAATAAATCTTTTAAAACAATAGAACAATGGGACAAAAGCTTGGCACAGTGGCCTAATCTGCTATTTGGGACGCCTGCATACCATACCATGGTGCCTGGTTTAAGTCCTGGCTATTCCGCTCCTGATACAACTTCTTGTTATTGTGCACCTGAGAGGCAGTAGATAATAGCTCAAGTACATGAGTCTCTGGCACCCATTTGGGAGATCCAGGTGGAGTTGAGGGCTACTGGCTTCAGCCTGACCCATCCCTGCCCCCTGCAGGCATTTGGGGAGTGAACCAGCAGATAGACCATCTTTGTCACTGCCTTTCAAATAAAGGAGGGCAGGGTGGGTGCAAAGAAAAACTTAAAAAAGAGGCAGGCATTTAGCATAGCAGCTACAAAGCTGATTTAAACTGCATCCCGAATCAGAATGCCTGGTATTCTAGGACCAGATGCGCTTCAGATAACCTGGGAGACAGTTGAAATGGTTCAAGCAGTTAGGTCCCTTCTACCATGTGCCACCCCTATGAATAAAAAGCAGACTAGGAGACAGAAAAGATTTTCTATCTGCCAGCAGTAGCCAGGGCTGGCGCAGGGCAAAGCTGGGAACTCCATCAGGTATTCGAAAAGAGGCAGGAATCCAACTACTTGAGCCATCATCTAATAAGCATTAGCAGGAAGATGATTCAGAGCTGATGCTGAGACTGGATCCCAGGCACTCCAGTATAGGACGTGGAAGCCTCAAGCACTAGCTTAACAAAATAAATGGGCCTAAGCAACTACTGCTAAGAATTATTTTTTTCTATTTATTTATTTATTTTTTAATTTGACAGGCAGAGTGAGAGAGTGAGAGAGTGAGAGAGAGAGAGAGAGAGAGAGAGAAAGAGAGAGAAAGGTCTTCCTTCCGTTGGTTCACCCCCTATATGGCCACCATGGCCGGCGCGCTGCACTGATCCGAAGCCAGGAGCCAGGTGCTTCTTCCTGGTCTCCCATGCAGTGGCAGGCACCCAAGCACTTGGGCCATCCTCATTGCCTTCCCGGGCCATAGCAGAGAGCTGGACTGGAAGAAGAGCAAGCGGGACAGAAACGGCACCCCAACTGGGACTAGTACCCGGAGTGCCAGCGCCGCAGGCGGAGGATTAGCCTAGTAAGCTGCAGCACCGGCCAAGAATTATTTTTAAAAAGCAAACAAATACATATAATAGGGGATCCTAGATAAGATCATGGGCAAGCAGAAAGTATACTGATGGGAAATCTTTTGAAATTTGAAAAAGGTTTCTATATTAGGTTATAATATCATATCAGATTCATTCCCTCATTTTGTTAATTGTGCCAGTCCTATGTAAGGTATGAATGTTAAGAGACTAGGGGTTGGGGGATATAGGCTTGTGCTGCAGCTCAGCAGGTTAAGGTGCAGCCTGCGATGCCAGCATCCCTTATGGGCAACTGGTCCAAGTCCCGGCTGCAGTCAATGTTTAAATATTTACTTACACTTTGGATAGCTACCATTCAGGTACATGAATGTTCATAGGTGCACTGTTCACAAAAGCCAAGGAGTGGAAATAAAGCAAGCGCACATCAACTGATGAATAGATTAATGTCTCTCCCTCTCTGTAACTCTTTCAAATAAATAAATAAAGAAGCCACTCACAAAGGACTATAGCTTGTTTCACTCCATTTTTATAAAATGTCCAGAATTAAACAAATCCACAGGAAAAAAAATGTAGATTGAGGGAAGCCTCGGCCTCAGAAGTTTACGGTAAAATGTAGATGACTATTAATTCATACAGGGTTTACTGCTGGAATGCTAAAAATGTTTTGGAATTCGATGGGGTAATGGTTGTATAACTCTGTGGCTAGACTAAGAACCATCAAGTCATATACTTTAACTGGACAAACTGCATGGTTTGTGTATTGTATCTTAAAAAAAAAAAACTGTCAATTTAAATAAACTAGTTGCATATATGCATACATATAAAAGAAAAAATACCTTCAAAAGTATTTCAGCTAAAGAGCCAATCATATGCAAGGCTCCATCTTTTTTTCGAGGATCAGCATTTGGTTCTGTAAGAATCTGGTAACAAAATCCCATAGTCTTTTGTAGTACCTAAATTCAAAAAAGGTAAGTAATAATTTACTGGCCATTCCAATAGTCCTTAAAAACATGCTGACAAAATGATTCAAAATATTAACATTTGAAAGTGTACGTTTGAGTAAATTTTCAGTTATACTGCTAAAGTTGAGAGAACATTAAGTAACCTACCTCTTTCCTTTTACTACAGGCTGTAAACAGAAGTGTCTGGGCAGCAGTGGTAGGAGAAATGAAATCTTCAAATACATCTAGAAAACAAATTCCAAGTGAAGATAAAAATTTAAAACATTCTCATATAACCTAATTTACAAACGATATTCTGTAAATAAAACCAGGCATTTTAAAAAATTGCTACATCTTCACATAAACGAAATATGAAAATGAACCCAGATATCTATATAACTTTGCAAAGCCTAATTCCATTTCATTAGCAAATTAAATGCTAACTAATCAATTTTTAATGATTTTCTTTCATACAAAAAACTACTTATGGGAGAATTTTCACAACAGGTTCATAAAAGTCCAAGAATTCTGGAAGATTTGGAGGAAGAAGGACATAATCCCAATATTAGCAAAATCACAGCTCTTTAGTTTCGTGTAGACTCCGGGTTCCAGTCTGTATTTTCTCAAGTCCCATATATAAGATTACTGACACAGGATCCAAGTGTGTATTTAGATGCTTAGTGTTAAAGGCGTAGTATTAAATATCTAACAGTTTTTGCCTATGCCATAGGAACAGCCAATTAATAATTATAACTTAATAATAACTGTTGCATTTGTGTCAGCTAAAAATAAAGATTATCATTATCAAAATGCCATTATAAGTAAATAATACCAAAAGGGTCTACACAAAGGCCATAATACAGTAGAACAAAGACGGTTTTTTTAATACTATATCTAAGGACCCTAAAATGGCTATTTTTATCTTAACTGCTGACATATTGTTTAAAGAAAAATGAAAATTCCTTACCAAACTTCATGCGTATATATTCATAAGGGTCTTCTTGCCAAAGTTCCTCATCAGCATCTGTATAGCACATCAATGGAAAAATGACATCTTGGATAATGCCCTGCAATTTAAAAATTAAGAAAGTAACAGCCTTCATCTTTCAAGTTTAAACTGTCAAATTTCATTTAAGTAGGAAAATGAAAGTATAATACATATTTAATACTTAACATTAAACTTTAATTCTAAGAACAAGAATCAAGCTATAGGTTTCTACTCTCTGTGTACAATTAGCAAATAGCTAAGTAGTTACGTAGCAAATAAGCATTCTGAGAACATACAACATGAAATTTTATCTATCAAATCCTAAAACTATAAAGGAAATGTTACTCAATTAACTTGGTAAATCAGTTTGATAAAGTCCACTGCTAACTCCAAATTCTATCATTAAAATGTTAACTGAAAGTAAAAACTTAAATGCAAGTTTGAAAATAACAGCTGTAGATTTGAAAAACAAGCAAAATACTCATAATTTTATTCCAAAGTGTCACATCTCTTCTGCTATGCTGTCAATCACAAGTACTAGACTAAGTAACACAATAAAATAAAATATGTAATTTTTACAATCTATAGTGTCAATTAAGCCATTTCTATTTTATTTGCTAGAAAAACATTTCAGATAGAAAATTATTACTTGTATGTGAGGCTTCAGATTCTTCCAGGTAAGAGCATGGGAAACTCCTTGATTAATATAATTTAATGTCTGCTGTAAAACTCGAGGAGCCATATATTGCTTCTCTTTGTACTGATATAATACCTTCAACAAAACCTTTGAAAGAAAAATTTAGGTCAAACAAGGTTCAAACAGAAAGCGTAAACCACTTACAAACCAGTAAAAACAACTGACACTTAACAATGCCCAGGTCATCACCAAACTCTTCTTAAGAAATTATTTGGGGGCCGGTGCTGTGGCACAACAGGTAAAGATACCTCCTGCAATGCCAGCATCCCATATGGGCACCCATTTGAGTCCCGGCTGCTCCACTTCCCATCTAGTTCTCTGCTATGGCTTGGGAAAGCAGAAGATAGCCCACGTCCTTGGGCCCCTGCATCCACCCATGTGGCAGACTCAGAAGAAGCTCCTGGCTTTGTATTGGCACAGCTCCAGAAGTTGAGGCCAAGTGGGCTGTGAACCAACGGATGGAAGACCTCTCTCTCTCTCTGCCTCTCCTTCTCCCTCTGTGTAGCTCTGACTTTCAAATAAATAAATCTTTTTTTAAAAAAATTACTTAGGGGCCAGTGCTGTGGCATAGCAGGTAAAGCTGCCACCTGCAATGACAGTATCCCGTATGGGCACCAGTTCAAGTCCCAGCTGCTCCACCCCTGATCCAGCTCTCTACTATGGCCTGAGAAAGCAGAAGATGGCCCAAGCCCTTGGCCCCTGCACCCATGTGGGAGACCCAGAAAGAAACTCCTGGCTTTGGATCAGCGCAGCTCTGGCAGTTGTGGCCAATTGGGGAATGAACCAGCAGAGGATCTCTCTCTCTCTCTGCCTTTCCTTCTCTCTCTCTGTAACTCTGATTTTCAAATAAATAAATAAATATTTACAAAAAATAAATAAAATAAACAAACAATTAAAAAATTATTTGTAGGAGAACATATTTCTAGGGTATTTAACAAAAAACAAGATCAACTAACAATGTGTCAAAGAACTGGTTTCTGACTAAGTAAAAAAATGCATGCTATCTATTGAGCAAATATTCTCAGACAGTCCTACACTGTCAGTTATCTTCTAGGAAAACCTTACCCAGACCGATTTAGCTTAAGTCAAGAGTTCCAAATGTACTTGATTATTTCAGAATATGAATTTTCAAACTGGATCTTCAGACTTATGGTAGCCTCTAAGACTCTTTCAGAAGTCTAGCAGAGTAAAACTATTTTCAAAATAGTACTAAGATATATTATTTTCCCGCTCCTCTGCATTTTACTGTTAGTACCAAGAGTGGTACTAACAGGAATCAAGGGAATGGAACTGAAGTCACCGCATAATTTTCTTTAAAAATGTCCTTAATGAACTAGAAAAATAATTAGTAAATAATACATACACATATATAAATACATCCCATCTGCTACATAACACAATACAAAGACTGAAAGGAAAGCACTTGTGAGATTGTGTTGCAAGTTGAAAGAAGTCACTTATTCCATAAAATACTATTATATACTTGAAAGAATTGATGGACAAATGATAGCTGACAATATGTATGTTACTGGTGTGAAAATCTGAGCTTTCAAGAGATCCGATCATTAGTCTGACAGCTTCCCAATATTTTAAGATATTTCTAATGAGATTGGTGATGATATTTCAACTGTGACTTTCTTTTCAAATTGTATGATACATTTTAAGATTTGGAAAACCTGCATTAACTAAAAAGAATCAACATTTTTAAAGTGACCAGTGCAAGATGTTACAAATGTATATATGGATCATTTAAACTGCAACAAAGACTAGTGAGTCTTAATCTAACACCATGCAAAACGGTTGTTGTTATAGTTTGAAACTCCACCTTGATTCTTCCAACTTTTGAGAAAAAAACTATTGGGGCCGGCAGTGTGGTACAGCGGGTTGAGCAGCCAACTGCAATGCCAACATCCCTTATCAGAGTGCTGGATTTGAGTCCTGACTGCTCCATTTCTGATCCAGCTCCTAGCTAAGGTGTCTGGGAAAGCAGTGGAAGATGGTCCAAGTGCTTGGGCCCCTGCCACCCACATGGGAGACCTAGATGGAGTTCCAAGTTCCTGGCCTCTCTCTTGTTCTAACTCTGTCTTTCAAATAAATATTTTTTAAAAAAATTTTTAAATTAAAAAAAAAATTTTTTTTATTTCATTTAACAGAAAGGAAGGAACGAAGGAGAAAAGCAAAGAAAAAAGTAGTATTTTGGAATTTCCATTAAGAAATAAATTTGGGGGCAGGCACTGGGGCACAGCAGGTAAAGCAACCATCTGTGACACCGGCATCTTATATGGGTGCCAGTTCAGGTTCTGGCTGCTCCACTTCTGAGCCAGCTCCCTGCTAATGCAGCTGGAAGAAGCAGAAGATGGCCCACATGCTTGGGTCCCTGGCACACTTGTGGGAGAATCAAAAGTTGTTCCTAGCACTCAGCTTTGATCTGGCTCAGGCCTGGCCAACATGGCCATTTAGGGAGGGAATCATCAGATGGAAGATTTCATTCTCTCTTTCTCCCTGTAACTCTGCCTTACAAATAAATATTTTAAAAAACAAATAATTTTATTTCTGATATGGTGAATACCACTAGGTAAAGCCGACAAAATTGAAAATCTGTTGGGGTCTTCAGTAATTTAAAAATATAAAAGAGATCACTAGATCAAAAATTTGAGAACCACTGCAGGGTTCAAAGAATACTCTTTAAGTAATAAAACCCATTGGATATAAGGCAGATCATACTTGGAGATGCTATATTAGACTTACTTGCTGGACACCAACAGCAAATGCCTTCAGAAATACTTCAGCAAATTCATTATACTCCTTGGAAACATTGCCAGGGCTTCCATATCTGAAAAAACATTAAATGCAAATCAATGAGTTTTCACCTCACCCCAGTTAGAATGATTCTCATATAGAAATCAAACAACAAATGCTGGTGAGGATGAGGAGAAAAAGGTACCCTAACCCCACTGTTGGTGGGGTAAACTAGTATAGCACTGTTGGTGGGGTAAACTAGTACAGCCATTGTGGAAGACAATATGGAAATACCACAGAAAGCTGAAAGTAGATATACCATATGATCCAGCAATCTCACTCCTGGCAATTCACCCAAGGGAAATAAAAGCAGCATATGAAAGAGTTATCTGTAACCCCATATTCATTGCAGCTCAACTCACAATAGCTATGATATGGAATCAACCTAGATGTCCATAAATTGAGGACCAGGTAAAGAAATTATGAAATATATGCACTATGGAATACTACTCAGTGGTAAAAAAGAATGAAATTTTATCTTTTGCAATAAAATTGCAAATAAGCCAGTCCCAAAAGGGCAAATACCATGTTTTCCCTGATCTGTGGTAACTAACAAAGTACCTAAAATGTAGCATATTGTAGTGAAATGGATATTTTGAAATGCAATGATTGTTTACAGCTTTGTTTCTACTATTAAGGAACAGTTTTTTTTTTTTTCCTTCATACCATCTGTCCAACTCTTTACTTAGTTTATGGTTAATTTTACAAGTATAAAGTAAAGTAGATCACTATAAAAACCAAAATAGGGAATAAGAGAAGGGGGGAGGAAGGATTGGAGTGTGGGCTGGAGAAGGGTAGGGTGGGAAGTATCACTATGTTCCTATATCAGTACATAGGAAATACTTGAAATTTGTATACCTTAAATAAAATAAATGAATAAATATTTAAAAAATTAAAATATTGTTTCTCTTTAATGCTTTATATTTATAGTTGTAAAAGCAAATGCTTAAAAAATTGAATTACCCTACCGTAGATAGCAGCTTACCTCTCAAAGAGCCTTGCTAAAATATGTAAAGCCCACTTCTTACATTTCCACCATGGTAACTCAGGTCTATCATCTTCTTCAACTTGAAGTGTTTCCTTTTAAAGATAAAAAGCTATTTAAATACAATCCAGGAGGAACAGCATAAGACTCACTTCAAAAATGTTTTGTTTCTTTAAATGTGAATACTCAGGGCATCCTATACAGGCACTGGTTCAAGTTAAGGCTGTTCCACTTCTGATCAAGCTCCCAGCTAAAGCGCCTGGGAAAGCAAAAGATGGCCCAAGTATTTGGGCCCCTGCCACCCATGTGGAAGACCCAGAGGAAGCTCCTGGCTCCTGGCTTCAGCCTGGCTCAGCCCCAGCCATTGAGGTCATCTAGGGAGGGAAACCACTAGATGGAGGATCTATTTCTCTACTTCTATCTTAGCCTTTCAAATAAATAACCTTTAAAAAGAATGTGAATGCTTCTCCTGTGTTGACCTTTTATAATAACTGGACAGACATTTTGCGGAGCAAGTCCCCAGTGGCTGAGACGTCAACATCCCACACTGCAGTGCCTTATCTTGATTCCTAACTCTGGCTCTTGAGTACAGCTTCCATACAGACCCAGGGGAGCAAGAATGATGACTAAACTAACTGGGTTTATGCCTCTCGTGTGAGAACTGGACTGTATTCCCAGCATAGGCTTTTGTAGCTACTAGTGTGTATTTCAAAGACAGCAGATGGGAGCCCTTGCTTTCTACCTCTCAAATAATTTTAAAAGTTTGCTTTGGAGGGGTAGGCATTGTGGATGAAGTTGCTGTTTGGGACATCTGCATCTCATATTGGAGTGTCAGCTAGAGTTCCATCTATTCTGCTTCCAGTCTAGCTTCCTGCTAATGCACCTGGGAAGGAAGAAGATGTGGGTCCCTGGCAACCATGAGGGAGACCTGGATGTTTTGGTCCAGGCTCTTAGCTTTAGCCTTGTTATCAGGCTATTTTTTTTTTCCTTCTCTGTCCGATTGAGTGTCAACTGCCACTGGTACAATCCCAGCGCAAAGATACAATCAGGATTTTCTTTCAGCACCAGCTACCAAATCCTGGCCCCACTGCCTAGGGGAGGACCTGTGAAAGTGCTAAACACATAAAAAATAATGTGTTTATTATTAAAAAATAAACTAAAGCTTATTCAGAAGAAATTATACTAACTCTACTTATGTCTAAGTTTTAACTATAAATCAGAAGGGTTTTATTGAAGATTAAATAAGATATATAATAGCACTGGTATTAAACACATCTGGTATTAAGAAACTTATAAATCCTCTACCTGTATAGAAAACAAATTATACAGAAACAGTATAACTTTAAAAACTGTGATTAAATGTTAAACTAAAAAATACTAAAAGCCATTGAATTGTGTACTTTAAAAGGGTAAATTAAATAAAGTGTATATATCTCAATAAAATTATTCCTCAAAATAACTGTGAAGTATAGGCAACTTATAAATCATGTTTTTCCTCTAATAATGGGCACATGACAAATCATGGTGTTAAAGCCTAGCCATGAGCTCTTAATTCAATTAAGAAATGGGAAATTAAGAAGCAGAATTAGGATAAAATAAACAAATATAGAGAAGGGGCCATCATTGTGGCACAGCTGGAAACCCACACAGAGTTCTAATTCAAGTCCTAGCTGTTCTACTTCCAATCCAGTTCCCAATAATGTACCTAGGAAGGCAGACAAAGATGACAAGTGCACAGGTTCGAATTGCAGGTGCTCCACTGATCCAGGTCCCTGCTAATGTGCCTAGAAAAGCAGCGGAAGATGGTCCCTGAACCCATGTAGGATACCTGGCTCCTGGCTACAGCTACAGCTGTTGTGGCCATTTGTAGAGTGAAACAACACATGGAAGATCTCTCTCTCCCTTTCTGTCTTGGCCTCTCTGTAACTTGCCTTTCAAATAAATAAAAAATCTTAAAAGGGGGAGAGGGGCAAGTACTTGGACCCCTAACCAACCACCCATGTTGGAGACCTGGATAGAGCTCCTGGCTTCTAGTTTCAGTCTATTACAGCCTTGACCATCACAGCTATTTGGGGGATTGAATTAATGAATAGATCTCTTTCTCTGTCTCTCCCTCTTTGTCACTCTGCCTTTCAAAAAATACAAACACACTTAACAAAAAAACTTATCAAGTAACTACCCAAGTTTTTATTTACAATATGCACATATGTAAAGAAAAGGTAGATCTAGAAAAAAATCATAAATTCTTTAAAGTTCATAAAGAATGTTACAGAAAATACCATTACAATTCTCAAAACATCATTAAATATTTATAGTCAATAAAATATGACAGCATTCAGAAACTTACATTAGGTACATCCCTGTTCACAACAGTCTTTAAAATTTCTATCCACTCTGTCAGGTTCTGTTGGTTTATCAGCTCCAGCGGTAGTGTATACTAAATAAAAGTTAATAGTTAATATTTTTAAATTCTTACTACATAAAATCCCATTTCCTGTTACTCTTCAACATACCTACTAAAAATATTTCATTCAATCCACATTTCCACATTAGTATATAGGCAAATTTCTTTGGTTAGTTATTTACCATGGTAAACAGAAGCAGTGAGTACGAGCACCTTTACAGTATTCCCAACTTACTAGGATTATATGGGATTTTCACGCTAAGGCATGCTTACTGTAGATTTCCAGTAAACACCTTTTATGAAGGTAAGGAAATTTCTATTCTAGGATTCTAAAAGGTCTTTTTTTCCTTTCTAAAAACAGGAATGGGTGCTTAATCTTATCAAAAGCTCTATCTGGTACCCATAAAGATAATTACAAGCTTTTTATTCAATATCATATAAGGGCTGATCATGAAAAATAAGTTCTTAGGGCTGGCATTATGGTGTAGCAGGTAAAGCTACCATCTGAAACTCCCGTTTCCCATACGGGCACCAGTTCAAGTCCTGGCTGCTTTGCTTCCAATCCAGCTCCCTGTTAATAGCCTGGGAAAGGCAAAGGAAGATGGTCCAGTGTTTGGGCCCCAGCTACCCAGGTGGGAGACAGGATGAAGCTCCTGGCTCCAGGCTTTGGCTTGGCCCAGTCCTGACTATTGTGGCCATCTGGGGAGTGAACCAGTGGAAAGATCTCTCTCTAGAGATTTTCTCTCTCCCTATCTGTAATTCTAACTTTCTTACATTCCTGGTATAAATCCTATATATCTCACTAGGATGATAAAAATTACATGTTATTTAGAATGTTTGGACATCCATTTTCCTAAGTGGTACAGGGTTATATTGTGCTATCAGTATAATCTCAAAAAATAAGTAGAAAAGACAAGTATTTATTTTGCCCTATTCACTGGGATAGTTTTCAAAAAGGACTGCTGAAGCAGCCATTTTACTTAGCACTTAAGACACCTGTTAAGATGCTCACATTCCCTCATTGTAGTGTCTAGGTTTCTTATCTACCTCTGGCTCATGACTCCAATTTCCTGCTAACAAAGATCCTGGAAGGCAGAGGTACTGGCTCCAGTAATTGGGTTCCTCTGGGGCTGGTGCTATAGTGTAGAGGGTAAAGCTGTCACCTGCAATGCCAGTATCCCATATGGGCACCGGTTCAAGTCCCAGCTGCTCCACTTCTGATCCGGCTCTCTGCTATGGTCTGAGAAAGCAGTAGACCTGCACCCGGGTGGGACACCCAGAAGAAGCTCCTGGCTTCAGATCGGCACAGCTCTGACAGTTGCAGCCAGTTGGGGAGTGAGCCAGCTGAAGGAAGATCTCTCTCTCTCTCTGCCTCTTTCTCTCTCTCTGTAACTCTGACTTTCAAATAAACAACTAAATCTTTAAAAAAAAAAAAAAAAATTGGGTTCCTTTGCTAGACAAATGAATGGGAGACCTTGATTAAGTTTTCAGCTCCTAAGCTTGCTCCCTGGCCATCCCAGTAAATCAATAAAATTAGGGGACTTAACCAGGAGAGTTTACCATCTATTTGTTTCTCTCTCTGTCTCTCAAATTATTAATTTTTTTTGACAGGCAGAGTCAGATAGTGATAGAGAGAGACAGAGAGAAAGGTCTTCCTTTTTCCTTTGGTTCACCACCAAGTGGCTGCTACGTATGGTGCGTTGCAGCCGGCACACTACACCGATCCGAAGCCAGGAGCCAGGTGCTTCCTCCTGGTTTCCCATGCAGGTGCAGGGCCCAAAGACCTGGGCCATCCTCCACTGCACTCCCAGACCACAGCAGAGAGCTGGACTAGAAGAGGAGCAACCGGGACAGAACCCAGCGCCCTGACGGGGACTTGAACCTGGGGTGCCAGCGCCGCAGGTGGAGGATTAGCCTAGTGAACCACGGCGCTGGCATCAAATTATTAATTTTTTTTTTTGACAGACAGAGTGGACAGAGAGAGAGAGACAGATAGAAAGGTCTTCCTTTGCCGTTGGTTCACCCTCCAATGGCCACTGCGGCCGGCGCACCGCGCTGATCCGATGGCAGGAGCCAGATACTTATCCTGGTCTCCCATGGGGTGCAGGGCCCAAGCACCTGGGCCCTCCACTGTACTCCCTGGCCACAGCAGAGAGCTGGCCTGGAAGAGGGGCAACCGGGACAGAATCCGGCGCCCCGACCAGGACTAGAACCCGGTGTGCCGGCGCCGCAAGGCGGAGGATTAGCCTAGTGAGCTGCGGCGCCGGCCCAAATTATTAATTTTGACAACTGTTATTTTCCTAGCAACCCACCCATTGAATCTAGATTCTCAAATCATGGTAAGTAGCAGAATGACATTTTATATGTAAAAACTGCTTTCTAAAAATTACCTGAACGAGGCCAACACTGTGGCATAGCTGGTAAAGCTGTCTCATGCAGTGCCAGCATCCCATACGGGTGCCAGTTCAAGACCTAGCTGCTCCACTTTCCATCCAGCTCTCTGCTATGGCCTGGTAAAGCAGCAGAAGATGGCCCAAGTGCTGGGCCCCTGCATCTGCATGGCAAACCCTGAAGAAGCTGTGGTTTCAGACTAGCCCGGTTCTGGCAATTGCGGCCACTAGGAGAGTGAACTAGCATATATGGAAGACCTTTCTCTCTCCATCTACCTCTGCCGCTGCCTCTCAAATAAATAAATAAATAAATGTTTTTTTTAAAAGTTACCTGAACAAGAGCATAGAAGATCTTGAATATTTGTTTCTGGATGAGGACAGATTGATCAGACTGATCAGAAAGCAGCTGGATGAAACGATCCTTTAGAACCGGCAGAAAATGCTGCATTGCTGCTACCAATGGACTCCGCTCCTCTGGTTTCTTGTACCTTTGGATAGGAATACAAACTAATTCTGTAAGAATTAACCTCTGGAATCTACATCTACATCTGTGTGTGTGTGTGTGTGTGTGTGTGTGTATTTAAAATATTTACCTACACAAATATAACCTGAAGTAATAGAATCTCTAATATTTACTTAATATCTATTAAGAGATAATCCTCAAGGCCTCTAATTATTCTTTCCCCTTTTATGGCTGAAGAAACCGAGGTACAGATGTTAAATATCTTTCCTAGCATTATTCATCCAGGTATGACCTAGGCAATTTTGACCCAGGCTGCGCTTTTAACCAGGTTACTATGCAGTTTCTAGTTGCGAATACCTATACAAGGAGGAGCTACAAAGACTGGATTTTAAACAGTAACAGCTGATGAATACCCAACAGCCTTAAGGCAGAAATGGCAGGTAGGAAGGCAGAAAATTTAATTTTTAAGGGTATTAGAAGTGACTCTTCTATTTATGATCTTCACCGACACATTGTGTGGTCAATATTCACACATTTCATAGCAGACATAATTTGACTACTGGGTGCTACTACACAAATTAACAGATCTGTTACATGACAATTGAACCTCTATTACATTCCTAAAATCTGAAAAACTGTTCCATTTTGCTCCAAGGATTATGGATTAAAAATTACTGATATAATGTAGACATTATTGCATATAGATTACTAAGCATTTTAATAGTATTGTTAAGAAGTATATTTTTAAAAAAAAAAAACAAACTTGTAGCTGTAACTATGGAAAAGGAGTTCTTGCTTCCATTATTGAGTCACCAGACTAGATTACCAAAATACAGATTTACTGGTTACAGAAATCATGAT